CTATAAGCGCTTATCTATAAGTGTTTATTTACATTTTTGGTTATTGAAGTCTTAGATTTATCATTTGTTTCATCTTTTGGTTAGATGTGGCCAGACATTTTGAAGAAAGCCAAACAAGGAGGGCTCAATGTGATTCAAACTTATGTTTTTTGGAACATTCATGAACCTGTGCAAGGCCAAGTAATGTCTGCATATGTTTTAAGACCAAATTTAAGTATCACTATATAGAATATTTTAATAAAATGTTACTAAAGTATTTGTGTTTGTTATTATGTACAGTTCAATTTTGAAGGAAATTATGATTTAATAAATTTTATAAAGATGATTGGGAATCATGGTATGTATGTAACACTTAGAGTTGGACCATTCATTGAAGCAGAATGGAATTATGGGTAAGATAGGACTCTTTGTTGATTCAAATTTCTATCTAAATATTAGCGACGGTTGAGTCAATGTGGATAATGTGGTGAATCGCGATTACATGCATGGATCTTTGCTAAATCTTGTTTTATTGGTAACTTTTTCAGAGGATTACCAATATGGCTAAGAGAAGTTCCAAACATTATATTCAGATCAAATAATCCACCTTTCAAGGTGATTATTCTACCTCATGATCACATATCAGTTTCACAATCTCTTCCTCAAAAAGCATTAGTGACATTTTGATGCTATTTGTGTATATATGCAGAACCATATGCAAAAATTCACCAAAATGATCATACAGAAGATGAGGGATGAGAGGCTTTTTTTATCTCAAGGAGGTCCAATTATTCTGTCACAGGTTAACAATTGAAGATTAAAAAGCAGTTTAAGAAAAGTATGTGAAATTCATTTATATCTTTGTTGACGGCATAAGATTTACTTTTTCATCATTGTTGATTTGTCAGATTGAAAATGAATACACATCTGTTCAAAAGGCATACAAAGAAAACGGCACTCGGTATATTCAATGGGCAGGAAACATGGCTGTAGGACTAGGTACCGGAGTTCCATGGATCATGTGCAAGCAACTGAATGCACCAGAAACAGTGGTAGGTTCATTCGATTTCTCTTGGAATTTTTTCTCTTTCATTTTCCTGTCGATGAAAATTGATAGAAAGAGCACAATAATTATGTAGATAAATACTTGCAATGGAAGGTACTGTGGAGATACTTTTACTGGCCCTAATAATCCAAATAAACCTACTTTATGGACTGAGAATTGGACGGCACAGTAAGTGCTCTACTTTTTTCATCACACCAAAATGGTACATTAGTGCATGTTTGGATGCATAAATATGATTATGGTTTGTCAGGTTACTTGTATTAGAATTGATTTCGTCAATTTAATTAGACGTGATAGTAAAATAATGTTTGAAATCGTGTTTGGTAAAATGGTCATCTAAACACACACTTACTACATTTCAGATACCGAACATTTGGAGACCCGCCATCTGTAAGATCAGCGGAAGACATTGCATTTGCTGTTGCTCGTTTCTTCTCAAAGAAAGGCACACTTGCTAACTATTACATGGTAAACAGCATGGATTTCCGAGCTTTGGTGTTAAACGTTGTACAAAAAAAACAAGTTACATCACTCTAATGACATGTTATATGTTTCGAAGTATTATGGTGGAACAAATTTTGGAAGAACATCATCTTCTTTTGTGACAACTCAGTACTATGATGAAGCTCCTATTGATGAATATGGTTAGGCACGTTGGGCTTGACCCTTTTTGAAAACTATAGTACACCATTCAATTTTCTTGATGTCCAACCTTATACACTTTTTTTTGTGATATTCTTAGGACTGCCCAGGGATCCGAAATATGGTCACCTTAGAGACTTGCATTCTGCTTTAAAACTTTGCCAGAAAGCTTTACTATGGGGAACTCCATCAGTGCAAAACTTGGGTAAAGATTTAGAGGTAGAGAAATAATAGTTTCACTGGTATTTATATCGGTAAATAAGCTCGAATAAGTTAATCCAAACTAGGATAGTGTTCATATTCATACACTACAATGTTTTTGTTTGCAGGGTATAACTTATGAAGGGAAAGGAAGTGTTGCATGCGCTGCTTTCTTATCCAACAACGACACCCATTTGGCAGCAACTGTGGAATTCAGAGGGGCTAAGTATAACATTCCTCCACGTTCTATAAGCATACTTCCTGACTGCAAAACAGTTGTATACAATACAAGAATGGTAGTTTAGAAATTCTCAATCTAATCTTTTATTTTCCATTCAGTTCTGTGTCAAAAACTAATGTCTAGTTAGTTAATTTCATTGCAATGTTACTTCAAATAGATTGTTTCACAATTCAGTGAAAGGAACTACAAAAAATCAAAGTTTGCTAATCAACTTCAATGGACAATGGTTAAAGAGATTATTCCTACTCCTGATGCTTCTCAAATTAAAACAATGGAGCCTTCAGAGCATTTCAGCACAACCAAGGATAACAGTGACTATCTCTGGTTTATGACAAGGTAAAATGGCTTCTTAGTCCTTACCATTACTACAGTATCAACATGTTTTAAGTCTGCCGGTGTTGCCTTTTCCGCAGTATAAAAGTGGAACAAGATGACTTACCCTCAAACGGAACTATAAGTCCAGTTCTCGAAGTAGCGTCTCTCGGTCATCTTTTGCATGCATTTGTCAATGGTGAATATATAGGTAATGTTCTATCTGACTATAATATTTGCATCACAATATTTATCAATGGTGAACATATAGGCTGCTTCTACTTATGCATTTGATTAATCTCTCAAATTTGCAACAAAAAAATAAAATAAATTATAGGATCTGGAAATGGAAACAACATAGCTAAGAGTTTTAACTTCAAAAAAGCAATATCCTTGAAGCCAGGAGATAATTACATATCAATCTTGGGTGCAACTGTTGGATTCCCTGTAATGATATCAAAATTTATACTTTACTATTTCATTAGTCAGTCTATTTTCACACGCAGCATATTCATAAATGTGATTTTCTTTCCAATCAATTTAGGATAGCGGATCTTACTTGGAACACAGGCTCGCCGGGGTCCGCGTAGTGCGGCTGTTTGGCCTTAAAAGTGGTCCCCGTGAGCTGTCATACAATGGATGGTGGCATAAGGTAAGACGAAAACATTGTTATCAATGGCAAAAAATAAAATAAAAAACAGTGGTTTATTTAAATTCCACTAAGTAGCAATGCTATAGTGTAGCCGTTAAATGATAATGTTTTGTATTGAATAGTGTATTATGGAACAGTAGCGATTTTTTCAAGTTTCGCTATGATGTAACACTATAGTTGCTATTTAACAACACTGGTATGAGAGCATCACATATATAATGACTATGTATTTAACTTATACTATGCTGCAGGTAGGTTTAGATGGTGAAAAACTCAACATTTTCACGGAGCAAGATTCCCTCAAGTTTGAATGGACCGAAGTTAACAAAGGACCAGCTCCTGCTTTAACATGGTACAAGGTACTTCTATTTCTTAAAACATTTACACAACAAAATGGCAAGTAGGTTTTGATAGTGAATGGGTGTTTAAAGAACAAAATATCCAACACTTTCTTTCAATAATAACATATTTTCATCAATGACAGACTAACTTTGATGCTCCAGAAGGAAATAATCCTGTTGCCATTCAAATGGAAACTATGTCCAAAGGAATGATTTGGGTGAATGGGAAAAGCATTGGCCGATACTGGTCATCATTCCTTTCTCCTCTAGGAAAGCCTTCTCAGGCAGTGTAAGTAGTGTGCATGCATTGATTGCATTTGAATTTCGGCTAGAACAGTTCTTAGTCAGACTTTACTTACTTTTTGCTTGAACTACGAATTAACATAGTTCCATTTCCTGGAAAACAGGAGGGTTGAGATAAATAAGTAAAAAAATTATGTAAAACCTTGCTTCCATGTTTTGTTTTGACAGGTATCACATTCCAAGGGCATTCTTGCAGCCGAAGAAGAATCTTCTGGTTTTATTGGAGGAAATGGGAGGGAACATAGAAGGTATACAGATCCTAACTGTCAATAGAGATACAATTTGCAGCACAGTAGGGGAAGATTATCCTCCAAATGTAGAGACATGGAACAGAGGAATGGGTGTGATAAGGAGCAGTGTGGACACTCCAAAACCAACAGCAAACTTGGTGTGTTCCGACAACAAAACAATTACTCAAGTGAATTTTGCAAGTTATGGTGATTCAGTGGGAAGCTGTGGACATTTCCTTCTTGGAAAATGCAATGCACCAAATAGCCAAAACATTGTGGAACAGGTTTAACACAGATTTTATTTCATTCTTTTGTTTTTCTTCTTACACATAGGTATGCTGCTATATCATATGTCTGCATACTCCTACATGTAACCGTTTTATTCTCGTTGAACAGTACTGCTTGGGAAAGACAAAGTGTACAGTGCCTGTAGACAAGAACATTTTTGATAAGGATGGAAACACTTGTCCTGGAACTCCAAAGACTCTATCCATTCAAGCGCACTGTGGTCATTCGAATGTGATCTCACATTCATCAACTTGAAAGAGTCAGGTTAGAATATGAAGAGAGAAACCTGTGAATGTGAACAGACAGCATACCGTGGCTACTGCTGGTCATTTTAGACTGTATTTTTGGCACTTTGTAGATGTTTATTAATACGAGTAGGCTCTAATTTGATTTGTTAATACCACATTTTGTATTTTTAACATGTAAATTTTGGTTCATCAGAAAATAAATAAGATTGCAGTTCTTCATGCCTCCGAGTTCTCTGAACTGTTACTTGAGAGCAAGAGATTGATTGTAAACCATATCTACTAGTTTAGGTTAATGACTTAACCATTTATTGATCACGCCTCAACTTATAATAGTAATACAACTTTGTAATGCGCTCTTGCCTATATAATTGGGACCATGGGTGACATCCCAGGTAGACTGGAAAAATACAGGTGAGGTTATCACAACATACAAACATTCACTATAAATTACAAAGAATTACAAACATTCACTACAAAAGAAACATCGAGCCGGAAGATCAAGATTTACAGAATGCATGAAGTGTGTCATCTAGAGCCTTTCTGTCATAATCCCCTGTGAAAACACAACTTCCTAGAGAACCCTTTAGAAGGATAAGTCTCAGCAGTCCATCTGCTACCTTCTTATCAACCTGATTTACCAATATAAATGAAGTTTTAGTCACAGTAAAAGCAAATTGAGCAATAGTAAGAGTATTGAAACTGAAGCATCATCCCTTACCGCCATTACAGATTTAAACATGTCCACAGTCACAATTTCAGGAGGCACAATAGGTAACTTGGCCTGTTTCAAAATGTCGTTGACTCGCTTCACAATAGAATCATCAATCCATCCAAGGCGATATGACATGTCAACAGCCATTACCTGTGTGCATTGGCATACAGTTTCCCTCAGAATTGAAACAAATGTCAGTATTGTTCGTGGTTTTATTGTAAAAAATATAAATTTATACCGTGCCAGCAGCAACAGCCTCTCCATGAAGCCACTTCCCATAGCCAACACTTGTTTCTATTGCCTAAAATGCGTGAGAAAGAGCATTAAAATCAGAGAAGGAAATTTACTGAAAAGGATAGTGCAGAAACAAATTTGTGTGATTATTTTGATGAAAATAGCTTGCACAGCAAACAAACACAAATTTCTTAGATTTTTAAAACCTATAACATGCAAGTGGTCTGAGAAATTATGGGGTCCAAAAGTTTCATGAAGTCTTTCGAATAACACGAAATGGGGCTTGAGTGATTAATTAATCATAACAGTAATAAATAACTAAAAATTATTTATAACATTCTCTTTAATCATTTCTCTGTAGAAACTTAAATTCCACGTTCGGTTGAATTGACTTATTGATTTCAATCCGGCAAAAATAAGATTGTACACTACCATCTTAAGTACTAATTTTTTTCTCAAACAATCCATATCTCCCATATATACACAAATTCTTTTTCAATATATTGACAATTTTATACTCGATAATGAAGGCATATACAAATTTATAACCGAAGTTATAAAAATTTCATACATCAAGCCAAGGATGGTCTTCACAGCAAAAATTTCAAAGTTCTGCATCCAAAAATAATACAATAAATAGTAAAAGATACTCACATGACCAAATGTATGACCCAAGTTCAATGTTGCTCTGATTCCACCTTCTCTCTCATCCAAGGACACAACCTCAGCCTTGTTTTCACACGATCGCTTTATAGCATATGCCAGGGCATTAGGATCTCTGCAGTCGATGACAATAATTTGTAAAAACTGGAAGAGTATAAGAGCGTTAAAAAAGAAACTGCAAAACACTAAGATGAAAAATGATATACGAAAAGTACATTTCCTAGAAGACCTTCTTTTATGAACTATGAAACGTTATACCGATTATTACAAACTTCACAAGATAAGTAGAAGAAGCTGGTAGCAAGAATGAATGCATATTACACTACTTATATTAAGGTTTTACCTAGCCATCAATGCCTGCATATTTTTCTCTTGCCACTCAAAAAATTCCGCATCCCTAATGAGCCCATACTTTATAACCTCTGCAAATCCTGATGCTAGTTCCCTCTCTGGTAACGTATTTAACGTGTCCGTGTCTATAAGCACACATTGAGGTTGGTAAAAAGCACCAATCAGATTCTTCCCAAGGGGATGATTTATCCCAGTTTTGCCACCAACTGATGAATCAACCTAAGAACATAATACACAATCCAATGAATATGGGAAAGGGATAATATAGGTAGAGCATAAACTAGAACCATCAACATAACACAACATTATAAATCTAATTGACATTAAAAAGGGTAGCAAAATACCTGTGCCATAACAGTAGTTGGAATCTGAATAAAATTAACACCCCTTAGGAACGCGGCAGCAGCAAAGCCACACATGTCGCCGATCACACCACCTCCAAGAGCAACAAAAGTACATCGCCGGTCCAATCGAGACTCAATGGCCTTGTCAAACACTTTCATAAGAGTATCCTATTAAATCAAACAAGAAATAAATTTTCACGCACCATTACCAAAAGTGTCAACAAGCACAAAAATCAATTCAAACACCAAAAAAAACACCCACCATGTCCTTGTACTGCTCACCGTCAGGTAAAATTACACTCTCAACAGAAACATTTGGGTTTCCATTTGTTAAAGCCTCAACAACCTTGTCTAGATACAAAGGTGCAACCGTAGTGTTAGTGACAATAAGGACCTTCTTTCCATGGACATGCCTATTATTAAAAAACAGAAAAATTAAGTTTTTTTGGTTCCACTGTCACCACCAATTAGGTTAAAACTGCAAAACTAAAAATTGGTAATAACTGTAAAAATATGATTTTTTTGCCCCATTTCATTAGAATTGGTATTACCTCTGGAGAAGCTCGGGTTTATTGAGCAACCCGGATCCTATATAAATGGGGTAGCTCCGATCACCCAAATCAACGTTGACAGTGGTGGGAGTTCCGGGTTGGGTTTTTGCTGAAAAGGGGTCCATGAGTTGGGATGAACTAGCGCATATTGGTGACCTAAGAGATGTAGAAAGTGAAGAAATTTTTGGGAAATGGTTGGTGGGGTGGGAGAATAAGGAGTGGGGGTGAAGAAAGTTAGGATTTTGAAGAGAGGAGAGGGGAATGGGTTGTTTGAGAGATGGGGATAGAGATAAATTGGTGGATGTGGAAGCCATTGGAATTGGAAATGGAAGGAAATTGAAGGAATGAAGGGGAGGGTGAAGTTTGATGGTTGGTGAGTGTAGAATGTAATAGCAATGACATGGTGCTTTTTGTTGAACAAAACAAGTAGGTGATGAATGGTGACTAGGATGTGAAGTTTGGTGAAGATTTTTGTTTTTAATATAGTAAATTATTTTAAGATTTCTTTGATTAATTGAATGTGGTGAAGTGATTATGGGGTATTTTATGAAATATAATAAAGAGGAGTGATATTTGAACACCCAAGATTTTATAACTAACAAAATGAAAGAGTAAAAAAAATGAAACTGGATCTACACATTATAAATACAAAAGTGTTGGACACACACTATAATAAAAATGTGAATTCTTTTTTTAAAATAACCTATTTTTTAAATTCATATACCAAAAAAAAACTATATTTTCAAGTTATTTACTAAAAATAACTATGTTTTAGTAAGACCGAAAACATTAACGCTATTGATTTGAAATGCCCTTATAAAATAACACTTATGCGCTAAATCATTTGGAATATGTATATATATATATGTGAAATCATTTTAAATAACATATATGTGTATGGAATGCATGCGCCTTTTAAAATGGCGCATCCTCCTTATATATTTCTTTGTTTTTTAAGAAATGTAATTAAAAATAGAAAAAATAAATTAAAAAAAATAAAATAAAACTATTATTTATATACATTAAAATTACAACAATTGATTAAAAAATCAATGTCCCACTCGATCGAAACGTCCTCCGATTTTATATCCCGGCGCATTAGCCTGACTCTGAGGTCTACCATGATTTTGTTGGGGGTGTTTATAGTCTTTGTGTATTGGCCTGCAAAAAAGGTATTTGGTGCGATGGTGTCGGCGTATTTGACATATTTTCAATCATTTGTCCCAAATAGCGGGGGAGTTGCTGCCAACGGCGCTGCCGTAATTCAGTTTCGTGTCCATGTTTTTGAAATTGGGTCGTAGTGGTTGGGTTAGGTCAGGACGGTATGGTTGGTCGAATTGGTACATTGAATCGTTTTGGAAACAATGCAATGGATGTTGTGGACTGAGGAAGTCAAATAGTGGTTAGGTGTTTTGGTGGTGGGATGTCTTGTGTGTTCATTTTTTAGGGGCTATGGTAGACTGAGGTGGAGTTGAATGAGTCATCGAGGCTATAGGCATATGTGGCGTCGGTGTGTGGATATTGGCGGTAAGGGTCAGACTCTTGTTGTTGTGTTTGGGTGGGTGGCATGAATAGGTTGCGGGTTTGGATGTTTGCTGGTTCGGTGTACATGGCACGTCGATGGTGTGAGGTGGGTAGTTGGGATTGGATGGGTAGATATTGTTGTTGGGTGTGATGTGAGGTTGGTTGTTAGGCAAGTGTTTGTTGTTGGGTGTATGACGACGCAACACGTTGGTGCGAATATATCAAATATGTCAGCTCATACACAAATTGTTGTGTTGTAACCGACCTAAACCAAATTATATAGTGATGACTTAGTCTATCCCCTTCCACGACAGGCTCGTTTAAGATGTGGTGACGTCGATTCTTCCAATATCGACACATCTCTTTAGCAAAGTCTCTCCAATCATCGTAACCCCATTTTGCATCTACTCTCAATTGATTCTAGTCTCCCAAACACGTCGGAGGGACTGGAATATCTTGTTGCATGTAAACACAAAAAGTATTAAAAGAGGGAAACAATTTTCAAACAAAAGAAGACTGTGTCTGGGATATGAAATAGTATAAAATGAAATTATCAGCTGATTATAAGGTCGATCAAACGAATGTGACTCTGTATAAGATCTATTATCATAACGAGGTCTGCCCATTCTAATTGATAGCATCTTACCGGAAGAGAAGCGATTCTTGGAAGATAGAGTTTATGGGTCCATAACACACTTGTATAATCACCAACTCGATGCAGGATCACCGTAAACTCAGCTCTCAGTTAATATGCAATAAAATTTTGCCTGTCATTAGCGATAATTCATCGTTGAAGGTGAGTTCCATAATCTCGTATATCATTCAAATATACAATTATACTTTGTTGTACAAGAAATCATTGATAGTTAGAACTAAGGCGGTTGAAACGATGTTCAGAAATTGGGAGGAGTCGTACAAAGAACTTCCAAAATATTTGGTGGCACTTAAATAATATGCTTCAGGGATTGTTGCCATTTTAGAGACCTTGCCGATATATACCCCGTACGGGACTTGTGTTAGCGTAAATGGCATATTCTACCGACTTTTCTAGGCATTTGAACCATGTATCAAAGGTTTTGCCTATTGTAAACCTGTTATACAAATTGATGTAACATGGTTATACGAGAAATATAAAGGAACGTTACTCATGGCAGTGTCACAAGATGGCAACAGTGACATTTTTCTAATCACCTTCGCTCTAGTTGAAGGGGAGACTGTTGAGGGTTGGCGTTTTTTTCCTAAAAATCATTTGATTACACGTGGCTTCTCAACCTAACTTATGTTTGATTTCGGACAGACATGCATCAATTGAGAGTGCATATAAGAATCTTGATAACAACTAGCATGATCCTTCTTCAACGCATGTCTATTGCATTAGACACATTGCTCAAAATTTCATACGGGAGATCAAAGACAAGACATTGCGGAAGAAGGTTGTGAACACAGGGTATGCATTAACAAAACCTTCCTTCAAACACTACCGTGAAGAAATCAGATTAGAAAATACAGATGCATTAAGGTGGATCGACAATATTCAATTGGAGAAGTGGATCAGGGCATACGACAATGGACAACAATGGGGCTACGTGACAATAAATCTCATGGAATCAATGAACTTTGTATTCAAAGGCATCTGAAACCTACCGATAACCGTTTTGGTAGGGGCAACATATTTTAGGCTCGGGACACCTTTTGATATCAGATGTTCAAAATGGAGTTCTGTCTCACAATTTGGGCAGTTGTTCAGTAATAGTTTAATGAAATTCATTAAGGAGGAAGCTGTCAAAGCTAACACATATGTGGTCACAGTGTTTGACCATAATAAAGGTTGGGTCAGTGTTGATGAGTCAATGGATCACAATAAAGGAAAGTTGAAGGGATCATACCGAGTGGAACTAGATAGAAGTTGGTGTGACTGCAAAAAGTTTCAAGCCTTTCATATATCGTGGTCCCATGTCATAGCGGTGTGTGAAAGGCTCGCCAGGAACCTTTCAACTTATTGTCTGTTGTTTACCAATTCATTAAGTTATGCAATGTCTACAACACTAGCTTTTCGGTGGTAGCAAAATAGGACTATTGGCTTGCATATGAAGGGGGAATTGTCTGGCGCAATGAAATTATGCGAAGAAAGAAAAAGGATCGTTCTAATAGTAAACGTATTCAAATAGAAATGGATACGACAAACAAAACGACTAGATTGTGTAATTCATGTCGTCAGCTCGGGTACAATCGTACAAAATGTCACAATGTTGGACCAAGCATAACATCATAAATTTAAATGTAACATTTTCTCTTTATATCAACAACAACTTTCATTCCATAAATATCATAACATTCAATATCAATAATTTAAAAACAACAAGTAACAATAATTTAAATAATTAAACAACAAAACAAACAAATACAAGGACTAAACAACATAACTATGCGATTACAACCATCAACATAATTTCTTAAGAATTATACATCAACATATGAACATCTCTGTCAGTTGTAACATTCTCTCAGAAACGAACTTCTGCATTTTGGTTGAACGTGGTAACAAACCTTTCAATTCTTTTGATCTTTTCACCTTTTGGAATGTATCCATCTAATCAACGATTCAGGCTCCTGTTAAGATGTTTGAACGTCAGTGTATTCCAGAGGCAGGTTTTCATCGAAGGTTTGACTGACGAGAAAATTAAATCAGTATTTGTCTTGTGGATATAGGGAACCTTATAAATATATGAAGAGGAATAAGAGGAATCCATTTTGAAAGAAAAATAGAAGGAGAAAACTACGAGAAATGAAGAGAAGGTGGTGCAGTATTTAAAGAAAATGACATAGTGTAATAGTCATATGAAATGGCGCATACAAATATTATTTAAAAAAAAATAGATGATGCGCCATTTGAAATGGCGCATGAGTTATGTGTGAAAGTGGATGCGCCATTTCATATGGCTTAACCTACATGCACAAGTCATTCCAAATGGCGCATGAGTTCAAAACTAGGGGAATGCGTCATTTCATTTGGCGTATCCTCTTTAACCTTCTCAGAAACATGGTTATTTCGGTAAATAATTTAAAAATATGGTTTATTTGAAATTTTATTTGAAAATACAATTAACATAACATGTAATTTTGCCACATAATTTTGACACGTAATTTTGATCACATAATTTTTGACACAAACTGGTTCCATTCCATAACCTGATACATATGTTCCACAAAATACATAAATTGGTTCCATAACATGATAGCAGTTACAAAAAGCCCAAAATACATAAATTGGCTCTAAACAGCACCAAACTGATAATATATTCCAAATTGATAAACCGATTCCTAATTAAACATGACAACAGTTCCAAAAAAATACAAAATACATAAACTGATAGCCTAATTATATCTAGAGGTTCTTTTTTGCCGTGGTCCTCTTAGTTGGAGTAGTCCTCCTTGTTACTGGGTAAACAACATTCTTGGTTGCACTCAACCTAGTTGTTGGCTCAAGTGGTACAAAAGGTTTTGTTGCCTTCCTAACAGGTAGATTTTGTGTCTTGCCCTTAGCAGGTCCATGAGTCTTCTAAGTAGCCTTTCCCTTAAAAGTTTGAGATGGTTGGCCTGATTGTTGAGTAGCCTGTGTTGGAGTCTGAAATGCTTGGCCTGATTGTTGAGCAACATGTTTTGTTGTGTTCTTACAAGTAGACTTGTAGTGTCCTACTTTCTTACACCTACTACACTTTACCATGAAACTTGTTCTTCTCATTTTGCGATCAGACCCATCAATTTCTCCTTGTTCATGATTCCTCCTCTT